CTAACATTGGACAACAATAATTGATCCCCTCCTTCGTTTTGAAAGATGCTTTGACGATCCTGGGTCCATCAGATTCTCATCCTATAAGTGCATCGCGTGCTTCTTTGGACAGCAACAGAGTAACTGCCTGAGTGTGTGAAGCATTTTCTTCCTCGTGACTACAGTAAAGCAGCATCTCTCCCGAATCTAACCTTTGCCATCCAGCTTGGGTTCAATGAGTTTCGCTAATTCCAAGGACCGACAAGTTGTATCTCCTCATTTCCGTTGCCATTTGACTGGTCCTCCCGATCTCCTACATTGTCCGGACGTTCCATGTACCAATAAAAATTGTTGCTCCAATCTATCAGCAGATTGACTTAATTCTCGCTCACGACCTAAGTGAATCTTTAGTAAGTCTAATATGGTTATTTGTAACAATACAATACATTTAATAACGTTCATCCATCAATTAATTTTACATCAGAAGATGAACAGAACGACAGCATATCATTTCTAGATGTCCAACTAAAAAGAAGAGCAGACGGAACTTTAAAAAGAGGGGTACACAGAAAGTCTGCAGCAGGACAATACATTCATTTCTATAGTGCAGTTCCAATCACATACAAAAGGAACTTGATAAAGATCTTGACACATCGGGCTAGAATGATTTGCTCTGAAGACACCATCGAAGAAGAATTGAATAACATTCGGAACCTACTTAGCATGAATGGGTATCCCATGAAATTCATCGACAAACATATGATGGAGAAGAAAACAAGGACAAAGATATCCACCGTCCATAAGAAGGTACTATTCATAAAACTACAATTCATAAATGACACCTTTGAACAAATCTTGACTCAGAAACTAAGAAGAGCCGTACAAAAAACATTCAATACTGCCAGATTAAATGCAATCTTCTACAACTATCCCAAGGTAAGAACAGCCAACAAAGACAGACTGCCTGAATTCGCCAAATCTATGTGTATCTATCGTTTCAACTGCTCCGGTGGAGCCAGTTATATAGGGCGTACAATTCGGCAAGTCCGTCATCGCATTACTGAACATCATCCGTCGTGGTTAAACAAAGGATAGGTAAAAGTGATTAAAAGTTCTATTCTCTCTCACTTGATTGACACAGGTCATCAAGTCGAATTGAATAAAGCTTTTAAGGCTATCTACAATATCCCATCTAATTTGCCACATGGTTTACGAGTGCGACTCTTGCACATCGCGGAAGCCATCGCAATCCATGTTCACAAACCTGACCTTTGCATTCAAAAGGGATTCGTACAACCACTTTCCCTGCCCTGGCCATCAGTTTAAGATTTCCTTCAAAAGAACTATTTTTCATACTTCTTCCACTTGTTTTTTTTAACTTTTGTAATTTTATTTCTGTTGCTTTTGAACTTAATAACTTCTCAACATTCATCTCTTGATTCTTACGTAACTACCATCCTATTGACCATCCATTAAAATTCTGTTCCTTCTTTGTTTCTTACATTACGCAACGTAGCAACTTCCTGATCACTTTGAATATTAATAATCCTCTTACTTCCAATTAATCAATGTTAATTTAAATGTAATTATTATGTAACGTATCTACTCGATGAGTATTATATTATTATTGTAAAACATATATATATATATTAGCGTAGGGCCATGATGAAGAACTAATTGAAAAGAAATTTCTTCGCTCAATTCGTTCCCTCTTAATATTTTACCATAAACAGTTATATCCATTATAAGTATCATCGTTTTGTACTGAAGTGACTTATTATTATTTAACGTATCTGAGAAGAATTATGTGAGTAACAATTGACGTTGATAGTCTTTTCCATCCACTTTCTGAACGTATACAGGAACAGTATATAACACCACTGGAAGTGCTACATTAAGTAGTCACAAAGTCTTAATAAGTAAAACTATGCGTGATTCTTTTGAGCGTGGTGAAAAAACCATGTCATAGTTAATACTGATTGATGATGTGCCTGTTATGGGATTTACTAATAAGTTTCTGTAAACAGAATCCTCAGTCACTGACCAAATTATGAATAAAGTTATAATACATATTGTCGAGTAATATCTAAATTGTGCTTACCAAATTTTTCGTTAATACCAAATGTCTAGGCGAAATACCAGAAGGGTTAGAAACAGAAGAGTGCTGTTTACACGAAATGAGGAACCTATAGGTTATTCGTCACCTGCTAGCGAATTCATAAATAAAGTGAAATCAGAGTTTTAAGGCAATATGTGCTGTGAAACCATTAACATTTCATTTACATCATAAACTTGGTATAAACACATGTCATAAGACTGTGAAGCGTTCACAGTTATATGATAGGGATTTGAAGCTCCTAGTCCTTGATATGACACAACCCTAGAATCAACTAACAACTATTAATGAGTTGATTTTTCAATACCTATTCCATTACAGACTGACTAGTCCAAAGTAATTCATGCAAAATACGTGACGAAAAGTGAACTAGCAATCGATGCCTGTATGTTGTGATGATGGTAACTACAGCAAATTGTAAATAACGCTTACTTATGATGTGTCTGCTCTACAGATTACCGATGAATTTCTATTAACAGGATCCGAAATCTCTGATGAATAGCACTGTTTGCAAATAAGAGACTTATAGGTAAATTCTGTTACCTTCTATTTGATTAACTTATTGAATGCGATACTGCTGATTAAGTTTGAACGTTTGTTTTTTTGTTTTTCAGAAATGTATGAAGCTATTAAGGTTCTCAAAGCTTTGTGATAATGTTTACGCCGGTGTACAACTTAGGGAATTTGTGATGATGAAAGATCATTTGGAAAACCAGTTTACAAGTTTACGATAACTGTGTTATATATTGCCTATTGACATTTTCATTTACCTTATGAAATATTTAAATTTAAATTTAGCAACTATACTCAATGTTTCACATTATAAATCGTGTAGGTACATACATTTGTGCAGACTATCACTTTTGCGTAAATATCTTTTTATCTGTCGATTAAGTGACTCAACACGATTATTCGTGTTGTTACTCAAAGTTGAAACATTGCCGTAAAAGGCACGCGCCCACATTGCTTTACGTGACATCCAAAAACAAGATAGGTAATGGTCTATCATTCTGTCTCTCCGGTTTATTATTCTGAAATATTGAATAAATCAAGTGAATAAAATCATTTAAAAAATACCTTCCAACCGTTTCTTCACTTACGTTCTCAGTATGTTGTCATGTATCTAGGGGGAATTTTACGTAAGCAACCAGTGGTGTACCTTTTTACGGAAAGCGCAAATTACGTGAAAAGCGCATAGAATAATGTTTGCACGCCCGTATGTGGTACGGACAGCCGCGCTTTCTGATCGCGCGCAGTCCATAACAAATTTTTCTGTCCCTGTTGTGTTTCCCATTGTAGCGGTAAATAAACCCCCAAAATAAATAGCTCTGTAAGTTTTCGACATTGGATGCTGACCACATGTTTTAGTGGACTCACCTAGCTGAAGGCGCTCAGTCATGCAACCTCACCAGATCACGTGTAGGAACGCCGTGCTCAACATCTACTGCAATCACTAGCCAGACTAGATCAGACAATTCCGATATATTGGCAATCGTCAAATACGACTTCTGATCTCCTCGATTCTGTCCTTTGATTTCTCTTGGTGGGTACGAGTTATAATAGGTGTTACTGGTAAAAGCGTTATCAAACACTGAATACCTGTGCCATCTTCACCACGATTTCTTCGTATTTATCAAGAATCCAGGTAACATCTACACGCATTTCTTTTCGCGTTCGCGCGAACATTAGAGTACGTCCTCGACCAAAATTATCTGTTACAACCAACTGGAATAATGAATATCTACAAAGTGGAATACAAGGAAAAACATAACCACTTCTTATTACTAGTATCATGCGGAGAATCAATACACAGAGCTTCCGGATATTTATTGTACAACCGTATCTGGCCATAACTGCTGAAGCATATTCTCGTGATATATCCATTTTCTACATGCTCCCTAACTTCACCGTTATGTCGCAGCATGTGCATTACCTGCTTTGGAGTGAAACCTGAAATATATTTCTATACACTTACCAGTGGAAAATTCACCTTTCATAGCTTGACATCGGCAGCGGTAACTTGCTTACCAGTTCTTTCCTTAATACTTTCTATAACTTCATCTTCTGACTGACAGTGCAATATTACTGGCTTCAAGTTTCCTTTTTCTTCGGATGACAATCTTCTTGTCCATGGATCACAAACCATCCATGAACTACTATATGGATGATTGTGAAGCATGTTGGAGAATTTGATGACATATACTTGCTCCTCTAGTCTTACACGCAACTTAGATTGGCAATTACGGAATTTAGAACTTCAACATCAGATATCAGTTAAAGATCTCACTATTTTGCTTCAATTTCAAACCTTCCGATTTCCGCTGATGACCAAATGTACAGTAAAACCTTACAAACAGGTATTTGAACCTAACATTCTTCAGCAACTTGCTTTCTGTGTGGATGTAACTAGTATAAGTAGTCTGAGAAGCAATAAAATTACTCTTCCACAATTTTTGGAACTCTTTTAGTGCGCTATCAAAGTCATCTCAGAACGCGAAACGCTTCTTCACAATCATACTTTGAAAGGCATCGCTAAGGTCGACTGAAATGTCTTTAGAGCATGAAGCACTACAAACAGAGATCATTAACTATAAAAATGTTATTCCTTGCAACAGTAATAACCCAAGGAAATACTAGAAAAACTCAGGTTTCACCAGTGACTTATTATTTCGTTGAGGTTTACTACAGCAGATGGTATCACAGATCAAATTAGGAAGCAACAACAGAGCCAACGTGTACACTACAAAACAGAGAATATTAAATAAATGCCTTTGGTAGTTATTTCGTGCTTTTTAATGTAGCATAAGATGATTTATATATGAAAAAACTTGAGACTCATGCAATCTAGCCAACCCACGGCAATTGAAATACGGAATGACCGCCTCTGGTCAGGCCGTTCAAGGTCGTTGAAACAAAAGGGCGGGAAGATTCGAACGGCTCTAAGGTGCCATCGTACCTGGTTGGTCACATTATTATAGTAACTAGATTACTCCATTGTTACTAATTGTACGCATAAAATAAACCGATAATCTTTATAGTCAAATAAAGTGGTGAATGGTTTGTCAAACAGGAATACATGCGACAATTGTGGTATGTAAAACAGCCTAACCCGAGCTTCCAATTTTGGGGAACTTTTGTGGTGTTTTGGAGAAACTCCCAAATTTCGGGGAAATTCGGGGGCTTTTGTGCCACTTCCCCGAAATTTACTATAGCGGCTTCTCCAAAATGTGCTAAATTTTCCCCAAAATTGGGAGCTTGGGTAAGGTTGTTTTATATAAATAAATGTATATATATATAGTTGATTGCGTGCGCCAGTATACGTGCCCACAAAACTACAGTAAGACGCAGACTTAAGTTAACTATTGGTTGCTCAGTGGTTCTCAATGATATCATCCCTAAGCGATATCATTCACAGTACAGATGATGTCGTTCAAACTGGCATATTTATCGTGTAAGTGTTGATTGTAAACCTTGAACCCATTTTAATACATTTGGAATTGGTTCCATACCTTTTACAGTCGAATAACAGTGCCTGGTCTTCTGATTCTGAGGAAACTTTGTGCAAGCAACATTAGAAAATCCGGAAAATGCGACAGAAACCTCGAAATTTTCCTTAGCCTGGGGTTTTCTCTCAAGTCTAAAGGTATTTCGGGGAAATCTCCAGAGCCAGGGAAATTTAGGGTTTTCCTCAATACCAGAAGGATGTTTCTAACTTTCAGTTCGTCCTTTCTCGGTACTTAGTCTCTGCTCATAATTCACGACACTCAAGACTTCATGTTCCAAAATGCCCGCTACTAAAATCACCGCTCATGATAATTTCGACATCTACATACTGTTGAATTACAGGTTCTCTTACGACTTTATCACTCTTAATGCTAACTAGAATTAATACCTAAGACTAGTTTTTGCGTCGTGTTGGAATGAAGTTCAAAAAGTAGTGCATAACAAGACAGCTGAAGAAATTCGGCACAGTTGATTGTGCAACCTATCCATCTTTATTTATTAGTAATAATCTATTTTGTGGTCCATTCTTCTTTTATTTTATTTTAACACATAGATAATGGTACAATGAGGCCTTAACTTCGTATGCGCCACACAAATCTCATTCGATATGTATGAGGGCTGTGATACTGCCCGGGTGCCCAAACCGAAGCAGGTGGTTTTCCTAGGGGGCCACTCCCCGAGCCTTTGACCTAAAGGTCTAACCCACAAGGCAGTGGAGCATCGTAAGGAGATGCAATCCCATGGTAGCCGGTGACCAACGAGTGGTTCATACGCCATTTGTTCCCGCAGGATACTGGAGCCCATGTGCACCATTGGTTTGTGATCCGGTTAAAGCGCCGGACATTCGCTTTTCGTCCTCTCATTTTCGTAAACAACACCCCCGCCACGAGAAGGACATCCCTGGCAGAGGCTGTATACGCGTGGCCATGTGGGAGCGTTTCGAGAGGGAGAGCGGACTCTTCCCGCTCTAGGCCGTACCAGGGCATTTGGGGGCTCCTCGCTACACCGACAGCTTTGTAATACAAACAACATAATTTCAAAATGGAGATTTGTAGCTCGGGCGGATAATTTTGGTTTACTATGCCAAAAAAGTAACCACTTAAATGTGCTTATCATGCGGTTTTTAACTAGTCGATTTGAACTTTTGTGCGATCCTCTACTTTTTTTCCTATTCTTTGTAGGTTACAGTCTATTATTCTATATTGCAAATCCCATTCCCAGTAATAGTCTCATTCTTCAACTGCTTGAACAATTCTGGCTTATCCATTTGGGGGCTCAGTTCCCGGTTCAATGCAGCATGACTCTACAGACTATATTAAAGCATTTAAATAAACTTCATCGATAGATCAGACAAGATGTTACGTAGTTTCTCGCGATTTGGATCTGATAAATGTACTCGCTTTCTCTACACGTCTTGTTATGTTAATACACCTAAAATTCAACCAAGCAAATTCTCACAGTTACTGAAGTCATATTTTGAGCTTGGACGATTCGCTAGACCAACAGGCACGTGGCTGTTATACCTTCCTTGCACGTGGAGCATTGCTCTAGCTGCACCACCGGGTCACTTACCCGACATTTATATGCTAACCCTATTTGGCGTTGGCTCCATTTTGATGCGAAGTGCCGGTTGTACAATAAATGATATGTGGGATAAAAAATACGACATGCTTGTCAAACGCACAAAGGATCGTCCACTAGCTTCGGGTTCACTAACCTTTCCCCAGGCTTTATTGTTTCTTGGTGCTCAGCTAGCGACTTCGCTTGTAATATTATTGCAATTGAACTGGTACAGGTTGGTTTGAATTGCTTTTTAGTTATTTCCTGAAGTGTATTTCTTGGTATCCTGTCATTGGTTCCTGTCATCACGTATCCTCTGTTTAAACGTATTACTTACTGGCCGCAGCTTGTACTTGGTAAGAATCAGTGTAGAATTTTCTAACCTTGGTTTATTGCAATGTGGTGTTACAGGCTTAACATTGAACTGGGGTGTTTGGCTTGGGTATTCTGCTATAAATGGTTTTTGCCTTTTCTCCGTGTGCACTCCTTTGTATTTAGCTGCAGTGTGTTGGACATGCACGTACGATACCATATATTCTCATCAAGTGAGGATGTTTTGCATTTGTCTTCAATCTTTTTCGCGCTAATAGTTTCTGCATTTTAAGAATATTCATATGTCGACTCATAGTTTTTCGATTCTGCATACTTAGTTTTGTGTTTTGACTTGTCGCCCAGTAAACCAGCAGCACCTTTTTGTTTTTTATCTGAAATTTAAAGATTAGGTTTGTTTGTTCTGTATAGGTCTTACATTCAACTGGGGTGCTTTGCTGGGTTATTCTGCTGTCACAGGTTCTGTTGACCCTCTGATTTCAATTCCTCTCTATTTTGGTGGCTTCAATTGGACAATTATATACGACACAATCTATGCACATCAGGTTTGTGCTCATAGCTTGCTTTAAAGTTTGCTATTTTATGTTGAATCTATAACGAGGGTTTCTATTTTAGGATATCGACGATGACATCCGTATAGGCGTAAAATCAACTGCAATTTTGTTTGGAGAAAAGACGAAATTATATTTGGGCGCTTTTCACATGGGAATGACAGCGTGTCTCCTCACTGTTGGAATTAACGCAAATGCTGGTTGTCTATATTACCTTGGGACCTTCCTTACAATGTTTCATATTGCTCATTTAGTAAGTTGCTGTTTTCACCTCCATATTTAGATTTCCCTTAATATTTAATGGTAGTGTGTAGTATAGAAGACCGGATATTTGGTCCACATCACATAAATCAGTGGTTTCAACTCACTGATCATTCCTAACATTCACAGTCCATGTAACGTTTCTCTATGCATCTAGTACACTATTGTATGCTTGGATGATACGATTTTTGTCAATCTGTGGCTTGTTAGCTTAAATATCTGATATCGAATTATTAAGTGACAGGTTCAAACACTTTTTTCCGTGTCAACTTAGACACTAAGCTAGTATAATTTCCCTTCGAACCCTGCTACTGATTTTTGATTAAAACTGGTTTCATTATCGGTTTTTACTTGGAACTGTCATTCAGTCAGTTAAACAGCTGTAAAGTATTCTGAAGTAAATACTTTTTGAAGCCTACCTAATACACTCCCATGTTTGTCAGACGCTTAAATGTAGTTCATCACTCGAACTGGTTTATTGAACGTACTGACTTATTCCAACTCAAATAAAGCCAGAACAAATATTGATGCTGAATAGTATGTATTCATAATATTTCGAGGTTTCTCGTCAGCTGCTTACAACCAGATATGTAATAGAATTGTACATTGAGATAAGAAATAGTGTGAAACAATTGACATAAATGAATGTAAATAACTGGAATGACAAAGGTTTACAATAATAACTATATATATATATATATATATATATATATATATATATATATATATATGCAAGAACAGGTCAGAGGCTAATTGGTGTTAGAAATAAGGAAATAATTCAGGATGGGTGGTGTAATAGTTTAGTGGAGTTCATAAATTGTGTGGTAATTTAAGAGGTAATGAAGGATTCATGGAATTAAAACAGTGATAAGATAGGTTACTTAATAATTAAATAGAATTTGAAAAGTTAACATAATTTGAGAGGATCAGTTGGCGGAAATGTGTGAATGAAAAGTTGGTTTTAGGATTAGGTAATGAGGGAGGAATATAACACAAAATAAATATTTTAAAATAAATAAATGAACAAAATAACCAAAATTGGATTACCAGGGTAATAATAAGTTTATTAACGTCTCTTTTAGAAGTTTTTTTATCGCGATCGCTTCAGCGAAACGGAGAGCAGTCACATTTTTTTGTCTGTTGGTAATTTTGAAAGCATGTGGGATGTCGATACTATGCCCGGTGTCAAGTAAATGCCGGGTTATTGCACTGTTGAGAGCCTTGGTCCGTCGCAGCCTCAAGTTCTTCGGAACATGCTCAGAAATGCGAACATGCACTCTTCTCTCAGTTCTTCCAATGTATGTGCTGTGGCACGTACATGTGAATTGGTAAATGTAGTTGGAGTTACTGAGAAAAGAGGACTTGTCGATTTTAGTTTGTTTGAGTTAGCAGTTCGTTTCCCATACTTTCGTCAGTTTTGCTGCTGGGTAGGCTACTTTCAACGCGGAATTTAATCTGTGATTAATTAATTCAGTAATTTCGTCTCCTTTGAAACGTAAATATGAGAAGCAAGTTTTTTCTACTCTATCATACTTTGCCCGAGGAGTGGTTTTTGCATATTTATGGATGAATTTCATCGGATATGCATTTTCCCATAGACAATTAGTGATGAGAGCAACCTCGTCATCCAGACATTCCTTTGAAAAAATTTTACGTGCGCGGTCAAAAAGTGTTCGTACAATACCCTTTTTGTAACTCATTGGACAGAAACTGTAGTAATTGAAATATAATCCACTCCAAGTAATTTTGTGATGAATGTGTCTATGTAATATGCCATCAGATGTTTGTCTGGTTCGAATATCTAAGAAATGGAATTTGCCTTCAACTTCCTGTTCCATAGTAAATTCTATAACCTTGTGTGCTTTACTAAACAGATCGAGTAGTCTAATGGCGTGCTTGTGATTTTTGCAGACGAAAAATGTATCATCAATATATCTACAGTAGAGTGTAGTACCATCGATTGCGTGCCTAAGCTTTTTTTTGTTCCAGGTTTCCCATAAATATGTCGGCCAGAATTGGGCCCAAAGGGCTACCTATAGCTACTCCATCAATTTGGCGGTAAAAGACATTATTGAATTGGAACTGTATGTTCTTAGTACACAAAAACAGGAGCTCAACATTTAGTTATCTGTTCCTATCCAAATATTCCGGTCTAGCTTATTATTTTCCGTCGCGTTTTTTATAGTTTAAAAGGTCAGACCTAAACATAAGATATGGAGGGGTTCGATCATAATTGAGTTGATCTCTTGTTCTGTCAAGAGTATGATGGCGGTTTCCATTTCCCGATTCCCCATATCATGAAAAAATAATTCTTACCGAAGTAACTGGATTAGTGGAAGTCTTATCGACCTGGGAGCGTGACCGTAGAGCACAAGGGACAACTGCTTGAGGTCAATCGCGTAGCATTTTTGTGTTTCCATGCTAGCTCAGTTCTTGAAAGGGTCCTGTTGCTAAAGATGGAAATCTATTGGGTAAATTGAGGTGTGATACTGAGGGTCGACCTTTTCTGACCCCTTTTCGTCGTTATAAGGTACCATCACCGTGGTTGCCGGTTACTTGAGGAAAGTAATTTACTACTGTCACACCCCTGTGCAATCAGCAGTATGACTTCGCCCTCGGATCTTAATTCGCTGCTTTTAGTCTTACCATTATCCAATTGATCTTCTTGGAATGATAGGACATAGAGGAGCAAATGTTCCGACCAATATGGCTCGATTGGATTAATACAATGTCCAAGTTTGACTATCACAAGGTTAATTTATCAAGTACTGGTCGTGTACTCATCTTCGAGCTATGTTGTAATATATACGGACCAATGACGTCACCCAGATACCTAAATAAGAGACAAAACGGAGAACAGAACGCGTGATCTTTCTTTTATATATTACCATCATTGAATTAACTGCTTCTATGTTTTGGTGTTCATCTTGTAGTGCTAATGAGGTATGGCAGCTTGAACCGATGCATATATGTGCTTGGTTCTGCGTTGTAGCTGACTGACGGACCTGTGAAGTAATCATTAAAATACAAATTCAATGGATCATATATCGAATTCTACTGGTAGAAATTAGAGATGAATCGTTATTGTTTTCAAATCCCTAATCTTTTCGGTCAAATGTCCCTCATATTCCAAACTCAAGATAGTTTCTAATCGAAGTGAGGAATTGATCTAATAATAGCCATAAACATCCCAATGATGTTATATGTAGGTTGTAATGTGATGTTTTGTTACTCATTTGTTGCACCATCACAAATGGACAGTCAGTCATTTATAAGTTATACGCAAATTTGGACCTGGCATATATATGCATCTTTTCAAGTTGCCACACCCTATTAGCACTACGAGATGGTAGTATTAGTGGTGCTAGAAATGTTAAGGATAAAATGTGATCTGAAAAGAAAATATGGATTGGTGGAATAAAAAAACCTAGGATCCAAGGTAAAACAAATTGTTTGGGCCTGTGCCATTGTCAGAGATTTCAATAAATGTTACTCATGGTCTCTAGCAACTGGTTATGATGCTTTTATAGATCCCACCCTGGAAGTCCGCAGCTACCTGTACGCTCCTGTTCAACAGTCAGTGTCTTCATCGACTAATTCCACGCCTTGGTTTGGTCTCATAATGTTCTTATAACCTTCTACCACACCAGCCATCATCGTATGTCAAGGTGGGCAATGGAAGACTTCGTTGCAAGTCAAGAAATTCTTCATAACTGATTACTTTGGAACCTGAAGATATCTTATTCTCACCAAATATCTGATATATTAGTATATTAAAAAATGCCATAATATTATCCGATTTCAATTCGTATCATTGAACCACTAAATCATTGCTGTAGTTACGCCGTTAAAGTTCCCAACCGTTGTTTTGTAATGAAGTGCAGTTATGTTGCTATATCAAACCAGTCTTTCTTTATCTGAATACCGATTCTAGTGGTCATTTTTCTTCCGTTTACGACATGTATTCTATGTTAGATGAATATTTTCGTACTATGTTTACCTCTGCGTATGTATTTCATCTATAACTAAGTATTTATTGGATTACAGTCTACTGGGATGTCCCTACAAATGTCAGGACATTATACAGTCAATAAAAGGCTTCCGTCAACCTTTTCACACCTGCTCTTGGTTCTTTCCTGAGTTTTCCTCTTGTGAAAGTATAAGAACTCAACAGCTGTTTTTCTGAGTATGGATAAATGTGAAGCATGTTTGAATCCTTAATAAATAATTCACTAAAATTTAAGAATCTACAATAATAGTTTTTAATTTTCTTACTGCTCAGTGGTTGTATTCCCTGAGTAAACACATACAAACATTCTAATCTAGTTCACTATCTATTGTGTTATTTCTATGATATGCAAGTTAAGATACTTCTTTTCCATTTTTTACAGAATAGATGTTGTAGTCACAAATTCTTTTAAAACAAATAAAAACTCAACTGTTAAATATTATTGCGGAATCAATAACAGTCAAATATATATTACTTACTCCCCTCGCAATGCTGTTAATTTCATGAGAAAAAAGTGTTCTGAGATATCATGGCGTTTATCGTTAAAAAGCGCTCATCAACTAAAAACGCCCAAGCTTCATATTTCGGGCTTCTCTCATCCCTCCAAACGAGTAGTCACATACCCTTCTGTTGTGTTGCTTTTGCACCATTATATATGATGGGATTACAAAGGTTTATATGACGATTAATTAATATGTAACCTTCCATAATTTAAATCAAGGGAGCAAGGTGCTGATTTTCTTATTAGTTCATAATCATTATCTGCTTGGTTAGAAATCGGTATAATTTCAAGCTGCACACTTAGCTCATACTCAAGTTACTTAAGCAGAAAAACAATGAACATTTGAAGTTGGTTTACCTAATTGTCTGTTTAGCCTTGCATTTTTCGGCTGCTTTTCAAGCGAGGAGTAGCATTGAGGATTTCTCCTAGTGTCTATCTGGTTATCCAGTATGCGATTATACAAATAATATCTAAGTGTAACAAAACCATGTTTCTATACCTAGTAGAATAATTTTTAAACCACTACTTAACCATTGTAACTTTTGGAAATTGAAAACTGACACTTCGCACTTATTAGCGGTTTTTTCAACTTCCAATTCAGTTTTCGGTATAATCCTTATTCTACTCTCGAAAATTCACCCAATACTTCACTATCTAAGTAGTTTCATTAGGTGATTTATCTGGTTACAGTTATTGATATACTTTATTTGTGTGTTTTACTTAAATTACAAATTGTGATTTTCAGATAAGGAAGACGGACCTAAAGAATCCCAATTCTTGTTGGCAGACCTTTAAAGATAGTAAAAAAACTGGTCTTTTGTATTTTCTTACCATTGTACTGGACAAAATATCACTATAAGCTTATTGTTCTTCTAAATAATAAAATTAACCTTTTGTAAATATTTCAGGGTTTTCAGCTGGCTGTTATACATTGGTTTCCATTCTCAATAAAATCTATTACTTTTAAAATTACTTATATAATTAAACTAATTATCTGACATAGACGTATGATATTTATGATAATTGTGTCTACTTTCTCTACAAAGAATTCTTTTAAACGGGAATAAGTTTTAACAGTGTTTATTGTAAATTTTGATACACCGTCAACTGGCAAATGTATTGTTACAAATAGTTTAAAATCTAACTGTCAAGCTCTCTAAACGAGAAATCATACCGTTCTAACCCAAGCAAAAAGCTACTCAATACAAATTATTCCAATTGATTTCACTTATTCTATGTTAATCAGTTATGAAATAGAATGAACAATTATAAAGGCAGTCTTTTTAAGTTAATCATAATTCTTGGTTATACAAACAAAATAATTAAGAAATAAACATAACTGAATAAACGTTTTATGCTAAACAGATGTTTTGTGTGACACGAAACAAAGTTTCGAGCTTAACCACCAGCAAGATTACATGAACAACAAACTAAACATGATTCATCCTTCTGTCTAAATATTTACGAAGGGTTTGTCTTATCGCGACTTATTGTCTAGTCAGTTAAATTATATGATTGGAAACTTAATATGGCTTGAGTGCAGAATCAAACAATCATCTGTTTACATCGTTTTGAAGAGCCATTCGGTGTAACCAAAAGTCCTATACATAATTCTGTATTTGGTGAGTGTCATTTAAAAACATAAATAAAGCCTAGCGAAAGCATAAGACAGGGTTTTTTTCACGTTTTACTGGACGATAGCCTCCGTCCATCATAAGTGGCAAACTGGTAGCCTTGCACAGCATTGAAAAACTTCGCACAGTTGTGTGAACTGGTACACATTTACACTACACCACTTTAAATTACTAATCAATAATCTCAAATAAGATTAATAGTCCTTGGGTGTTAGTAAAGAATCTGATCAACGCACAGCTCATATTGGGAACTTTATTGAAAGTTCGTATTAGTCGAAAGGAACCATTTCAGTTATTAGTTTCACAAAAATGATCAGAAGACGGAATACTACAATATGACGCCGTTAATAAACAGTGACGTTTAACTATAAATTAACGGTTTGACAAATGAAATGTTAAGTAACCATGGGATTCTGCTGCTAGGGTCATTGTAGTAATGCCTTCATTAATTTTGCCCAAAATAGCAGTTGGTGGGCTCTACGATTTGACCACTTATTTGGAAAGCTCATCTTTAGAATTCCATGTCTTCGAATTTAAGTGACAAAAAGGCTGATATACAAACACTGGATGCAATAATATTACTAGGAAAAACTACAACACACGTTATCGCGGTGCTTTTCATTTGTACGCTAAACAATCTACTTTACTTTAGCAGCCAATTATTTTTAAATGACCAATAAGTTTGAAATTAAGATTATTTGCAGTTACTAACGGCAGATATGCTACATATTCAATTACAAATCACTTATAGTTCAGAGAACATTTGACTCGAAACTTTCTTTGGTTTTACAACAATCTAGTTACCTACTGACACTTCTATGTTAAAACTGAATTCAGCAGTCTATAGTATTCCTAAATTCCTTAACTGATATGACGAAGAATTAAGTTTAACGGTCAAGCATTAATTAGTGTCCTGCAAAACTGATCTGCTTTGATCGTTTATTATTATCGTAATCATCCGTATGGAAGAATGTTGTATTATTTAACAAAAGATGTTATTGTGACCTTATCGCCTTGTCTATAATATCAGTTCATTTGGGTCAGTAATCCGGTCACTCACTTGAATATTAACAATACATTTGAAACCTCGATGTCTAATCTTAGTAGTTTGGAACACTAACGACACCAGAGGGATATGTTTGAACATTACATTTCGTAAGATTCTGGACTTTATAATCACTCAAGGTATATTTGTAGCACCTTAACAACAAACTTAAGAACGACATAGTAGACTTCAGGATTGACCATGCACGTGTCAGTTGGATTTTTTCCATCAGGGCTTAGCTGGATCAATGGATCCTCATAACTCTCCGACAATATATGTCAGTGTTGGTCAGTAGCACAAGGAAACTGCCCTAGTAGACTCGTTAGAGTAAAAGTGATCAAATCCGAGACCATAAGAAACCAGCATTTGAATCCCCTGCAGACGTTGTCTAACGACACGAGCTTCGAAATTAAAAATCACTCGTTTGGTTTGTTCATCTTTTACAAATTAAGGGTCGATTTTCCAACCTGATATGAAGCATCAACGTTTATAAGTGTTGATCATTACGCATAATCAAAACTTAAGAAAAAAAGAAGCGAGTGAAGATCAATTCACCTGAAACTTTTCGTACTAATTATAAGGTAAATCAATGATATACTGAATAAGGCATTTAAGAAATTAATTTTAAAAAATACTAGATGATAAACAGCAGACATTTATTTGTACACTTAATTGAATGCTTATATGTACAGTTTTAACGTAGATTAACAATTTATTTGCCCAACTGTACATAAGTTTCCAAGTCAGGAACGGCTGCCATAGTTTGTTCTACATGACCTATACACTCCAAACAAATGACCTCAGGATTATCCTGATTCACAAGTACAACATCCTGTTGGTGAGAAAAATAGAAAACAGTGAAAACGAACATGCTATCATGTAGGCAACTGAGATACTTTGCATGGGTCAATTTTATGACGTACTACAGAGATGACATTTATTATCAAAATTTGATATAGAGGTTCAGTCGAAATATTTATGTTTAAAAAATGATCAGACAAATACATATTTTGACAATAAGTTAGTTCTTCATCTTGAGTGAATAAACTTGAGATCCATAAGCTTCACTAGATTAACTTTCTGATACAAACATTAGAGATTTGATGAATGGACACACGTTCTACACTGAAAATATAGAAGTACTCGAGACTAGTTAGCGCTGCAATTTATCCGCTTTTGGATAACAATTTGTGAACCATATTAGTTGTTTTATAAAACAACTGTCACGTAGATAGGAAGCCAACAAAAACGGAAGAAAATAAAATAAATTGGCTTCCCAAATAATAAACAAATTCGTTGTACGTAAGTGTGAGATTCAGGTTTCATTCCACTCAATATTAAGGCATATTGCCCAACGACTGAAAATTTCAAATTCAACACTAATGTTGGAGCAGTGAGTACTTCAATGATTTAATTATCTCTATAAAACTGTTATGTTTATTAAACTACTTTTGCAACTTATAGTGTTCATTTAGCGCCTCAGTACGAGATAATCCCTTGCAGTTTCTGGTGTTATTTTATAGTTATCAAGCAGACATATTAACTGGTTACACCTGCTTTATTTCGAAATAGATGTGATTTAACAATGTACGGTCGGTTCTCTTTGAAATACCATTGATAGAGAGATTGAAGATGGTATCTCGAAAGTAATCCGCAGATTTAGAATAAAGCCTACATGACAATAAAATAAACAGAATTAGTGACACAGTGAGCCATTCGGATATCGGCCAAACAATAAGCTCACCGCGACTAACCGAGCTATGAAGTTCTTTTCTAAGGAATGAAACAAACTACCGGTGGGAAAACATGTCTTAAATTACTAAGGGGTAAATATATGTAATTAAACGGATGTACAGTTATTTCCACTGATTTATATATTTAGTTGAACATATCAACATTGGTACAAAGGGACACCAAATACATATGCGCCACACAATGACAATGAGAATGTGAATAGATGGAGAATGTAAAGTGCCTATAAGAAAAAGGAGGACAATAACGAACACAAATTAGTGTATGAGAGTGAAATAATAATAATGCGAGGCAGTCCAGTTAGCAAAATAAAACCAGGAAAAATTCTTTCGATTAGAGAAACTACTAGCACTTCTATGTAGAAAGCAAAGTTACAACAGGATAGCCACTGGCTTCTATCTCTGGGACGACATTCGTAGGACATGTCCAAGCAACCGAAGTCGATGCTTCGAAACGGTGACACCAAATGGATTATCGTCTCCGCGTCCGAACAGACAATGACAAACCTCTGCATTGCTAACATGGTGTTGCCGCTGGATGTCAACAATCCTTCGGCGACAACGATGGTCGAACACAAAGAGTCGCCTACCATCCTGAACTCGGAGAGGTCAGGTTTCACAATCATAGAGCAGAACTGCTCTCACTGACGCGTTGTAGGTCCGATCTGTTACAGCCAGACTAACATCACGAAGGCGCCAAAGATGACCCAGATTGGCATAAGCCACTCTGGCTTTCACTATACGTGAATCGATCTCATCACTCATGCCACCACCGGCATTTATGCAGCTACCTAGATACACAAACTACTCGACTACTTCTATCTGCTCACCACCTAGGGTGAGTACAGGATTAGAATCCTGACAGTCTTGTAGAAGTAGTTTGCACTTCGAAGGTGCAAAGTCCACACCGTACCTGCGAACACTAATTTGCCAACTGGCTAAGTGATGATTGAATGACTTGGGCATTATCTCACCATAAGACAATGTCATCCGCATACTCAAAGTTGAGAAGTCTCTACAGGTAACAGATCTACACCACCATCACCTACATCCATCAGAACCACTTCCTGAACGTCATCGATAGCAAAGTTGAGGAGGAATAGTGAAATTTGGCAATCCTGTCTAACCCCACTGCTTGAATGGAACAATGGAGAGAGGTGGTTGTATGCCCTCATTTTGCCTGAGGTGTCTGTATATAGGGCTTTTAGGATGTTAATAAACTTCTCAGGCACACCCTTCTTCAATAGACAACCCCAGAGAACAGTCCCGTCCAACGAATCGAAGGCAGCCCTGATGTCAATCAGCACTACGATTGTTGGCCTGTGATAAGTATGACGGTGTTCTAACATTTGTTGGACGATGATATGATAATAATCAATACATCCTCGACCAAAACGAAAACCAGCCTGCTCCTCGTGAATGAATTTCCTCGGGTTTTGAACAATCTGCGAAGTATGACGGAAGCCAACAGTTTGGACGCAATGGGAAGTACACTCATCCACCGATAGATGTTACAGAAACGACATGAACCCATGTTAGATATAGGGACAACTAACGACTCATTCCATGATGTTGGGACACTGTCTAGCTCCCAAACCTTTGTGAACAACTCAGACAGTTCCTTAACCAGAAAATCGCCGCCATCTTTAAAAAGAGACAGGTAAGTAATCTGGGCTTGGTGATTTGTGTCGCTTCAAGAGTTGGAGTTCCTTGTGTTATTCCGCCTCATTTGGTGGATCAGTCGTCACCAGCCATGGAGGGTAGGACAGTCTGATCGATGTTGCCGGAGCAG